TAGCCTCAGTTCTGCAAGGATGCACACATGTATACTGTTCCATTGACATGACTGCAGAAGCACAGTGGAACCAATTATGTCTTCCTTGCACTGGTTATTCTCATGATAACTCTCCCCTCTCTACTGTCTGTCCGACTCTTGTCTTCCCTTCCTTCAAAGTTGTCTTCCAAAAATAGATGCACCTTTCTTTTCTACACTGAAGCAACAAAAATATGGCAGATGAACTAATACAATGCCAGATGATGCTAATCTATATGTTAAACATAATTTATCAGTCTTTTTGCAAGTTTCTTCTTCATTTCACCTATTTACCTGCTTACCTATGATGTACCTAAGTCACTTAGGTTGTGACTTCTTGCAGGAAGTGTTTTAATGTCTTTTTATTATTATTATACTGCATACACTGTGGAAACGCAGCCCATTGCTACTATTTACATCTATTATATCATATACTGAGAAACTCCTAACATTTTCAAAGAGATTACTTCCCCGCTTAAAAATTTCAGAAAACTTTATCTGGGCCTGCTACTTCACAGGTCTGAATTACGTTTGTGGAGTGTTTTGAGCTCTAGTTCATTGCTGTAAAATGATTTCTGCCTCATTCCTTTCTGGTGTTCAGACCAAGTTGTCCTTAAGTTGAGCATCATTATTGTAGGTACAGTTGTACTTAGAATTACATATTTCATCAGGGAATGAAGCACTGAATACCTCTTAGAGAAGTTAGTGGAATAAAATTGTTTCATTAAATTCTAACTTTGAGAATCCATCAGAAAAGATGCCACATCATTCAGGCTGTAAACAGAATGCTGCTTCTAGCCACCTTTATAAAACAGGCTGCTAAGTGCACTGTTATTCCTGGACCTTCTCCTAAAGCTTTGCATTGACTTAAATAGCCCAGCCCTAAATAATGTGCTGCTTTGTTATGAGTCCGTAAGGAGTAATTTTAGGTAAGAAGCTAGCTCCTAAACTATCTGTAAGGCAGTCCCCCTTCCTGAGCTTCAGTAATCCTAACCATCTGCTTTGCCTCCCAGCTGAATGTGTGGGGATGAGGACCATCATCGTAACAATAATACCTGCTGCCTCTGACTCACTACAGCTCCTGCTGGGAGAAGTGCATTTCTCTGTGCCTGTGAGAGCTGCCACAGTGCAAGGAGGATTCACTGCCAAGTTCAGATTTTTTAGTTGTAATTTACCTCCCTTGCTCTTTTCGTAATCTTTGAGTACTGTGGGAGAATAGATTATGGTGTCTGAGGAGACTACCTGCAGAAGCTGAAAAAAGACTGAGATCTGTATTCATGCTTTCAGGAGTATTTCTTGGTGGGAGTGTTGTATTCTCTGCACCACAGGAAAGCGCAAACAAAGCCGAGTAGGTCTTGCTCCACAGCACAAATGAGATCTGTGTGAACAAACCCTTGTCTGCAATACGCCTTTACCCAATGAACAGTCAGTGCACAGGCACTGGCAGTCTTGAAATCGCTGGGGGGAAAACGATCTGAAACATTACCATTTACGTTACAGCTGCAGCTTTGCGTCTTGAAACATTGACATTTCACCTGTAATTTAATCTCTATTGTTAAGGTATCGTGGAAACTCTTTTCCCTAGGCACTAGACCATCAGGCTGTGTATGGAGTCTGTCAGCAAATAATATTACTAAAAACCCATGTAGTCTTATAGACATTCAAAAAAGACATAGCCGTACATACAAAAATAGATGTGCAGCTCTTTTTCAAATTACTGCCATAGTAACCATCTAGATACTGTCCTGGGCAATAGATAATTATCTGTGTGTGTATATATATGTAATAGATAATGCATAATGTAATAATAACATAGAAAGAAATGATTTTATAAAACCGCTTCAATTACTTGTCATGTACAGTGGATTTAACATGAAGCTATATTCCACAATGGGAGGATTTAAATGCCACGTTATTCAGTTTGAGAACAAAGAGATTTTCAGTTTATGTGTTCTGTGTACATAGAAGAGGCAGCAGAATGGATTCATTGTGCACAAATCATGACTAAGGTGGTGCTGAAAACAGCACAGGAGGTAGTGTGGCTACAGGAAAACAACATTTGTTTATGGACTTCAGTGTACTTTTTGTGCATTTTGAGAGTGAGCCGTGATTAGATCTGAACTCTACAAAGAGTGCAAGGGGCTTGGTGGAACAGGTATGATTAATCTGTGTTTGGTTGTTAAACTGACTTAGTAATAAGATAGTTATGTGGGTGTATGTTTTATCATTCTTAAACTCAAATTACATTAAGCATTATGAACAGTCAAATAGGATAATTAGATTTACAAGTATGTCAAGCAAATATTCAAGACTGGTTGCATCTGTTGCTTATAGAGAGTGAGATTTGACATGCAAGACTTTTTTCTAAGAACTGTACTGTAGATACTATGTTCATGGATAGCTCTTTGCCGGAGAGCATTTAAATCTTTTAGCATGGAGAATTTACAAATTAACCCAAGGATTGTATGACATTATTGATCATATTTTTTCACAAGTTTTTGAGTAGCTGGATTCTTTTTTAACATACTAGTTGAATCACAGACTAGTGAGTCTGTTCTTTCAGCAGTCAGCAAGTTAGTTACGAAGATACTGAGTATTACAAAGTCTACCAGCTAGATACTGGTAGGATGATAGGATGCAATCAATAGAAAGTTATATGACATCAAACTTAGCAAGTAATCATGTGAAAGTAATCAGCTTGGTGATATTTCACCTTAATAATGAATGTTTTAAAGAACTTTTTAGTCACTGTTCCTCTATATGAAATACTGTGACCTGTTTGCAAAGAAATTTAAAGTAATAACAGTTCAATATTCAAATATATGCTTTTAGACATCATAGAAACCCACAACATTTATACCTGTGCAAGCAAAAACAATAGGTACAATCTGCTCTCATGCTTTAAGATGAAGGGGAACCTGAAGAAAATACAGCATTAACACTAGTTCAGTACGGTATGGGTTTTAAAGAAACAAGTATTTAATGACTCATTACTGCAATTACACAGTATTCTTCTTATATAATGTAGTGGCTGTTCTTATATAACAATATGCCCTACAACATAATACAATAAACTTTGAACTAGCTGTGCAGCGTATTGATGAGTAAATAGGCTGAACCCATTTTTATGATGGCATCATCCAGTACAAAAACCAAACCAAACCAGAGATCCTTTAGAGGCTATGAAAGAGCTTTCTTTTCCCATAATTTTTAAATTAAGGGCAAAATCCTGGCATACACTGTGGTCAATGTTACCAATGGAAGCAAGATTTCATTTCCAATGGAGAAAGCAGGAAACTTTTCAGCATACTCCCCTTGTCACAGTTTTTGTCTCTGCCCAGTTTTTTTTAATTCAGTTCTAGAATGACATATGTGCTGACAATACTCAAATAATCTTTTTGCTGTATTTTGAAAGTGTTTAGCATATTTTAGTTCTCTAAAATGGATTACATTTGTTATCTTCTTTCTTTTTTTTGCCTTTTACTTGTGTAAAAAAAGGTTTGGGGATCAGTCATCCCAAACACTTTGCTATGCAAGAGTGCTTAATTAACACTATGACTGCCCACTGAAGTTAGAAATGAGCCACAAATCTTAGTTCTGTTTAGATGTTTGTTGCATATGCTTGTCAGTGTGTTCAGTTTTATAATAACAGGCAAAACAAGTCATCAGGACAGGGGAATGGGGAGGTTTTACCTATCAGTGGGAGAAGTCATTGTTTATAGGTCAATTAAGTACAGGATTTGACTCCTTCTCTCCCAAAGTAACATTTACATTACCAAAGAGGAAAGTTTTGGCACTCCTGCTAAAGTATCAACAAATGGCTGAAAGGTAAATATATTTTTGAAAGTGCAATTGAACCTGCACTCCTCAAGGAACCTAAGGAGATTGTCGTAAGAGCTAACATACTTTACCAGCAGAGGTTATCTCTGAGGAATGCAGCCTGAGACATAAACACATGAAAAGACAAAATTTCTCATGAAGTAGGTCAAGAAAATGCCCACCATAAATCAGTGGCACATAGGAACATTTTTTTATGCTTGGTGATTTTATAAGAAAATTAAATGTAAATGTTTGGTTTGTTTGCATTGATCTTTGTCTTTCAAAAAGCTTTCTGTATATTATATGTAAATATTTTTATCTTTTTAAGTTTGCTATCAAAATAACTAGCTAGTATCAAAGCATTGGTTGTTATTTTTCATCGAAGAGTGTGTCAAATCTAGAGAACAAAGGCAGTGTAAGATAGAGCCTTTTTGCTTCTCCTTTCTGAAGATGTTTAAAAGGACCAGGGGAAGTGGGCCAAGAGTGTATATCAGAAAAAAGCAACAGAAAGTTATACATATTGACAGTGTTGATTTTATGCAATTTATGTGAATGTACAATTATTTTCTAAAGAATAATCTTAAGCATTGACCATGTCTGACCTATCAGACTGCCAGCCCTTTTCGCTTTTCCTAGTTATAGTTGATGGAAGCTAGTATTGTGACCTTTCTCCAAAACTTTATTTTCACTTCCAGTCTTCAGCTGAGCAGCCTTCTTCTTCTGTATGCTGAGCAACTTACATATTTTTTTAACATCAGTCTCCCAAGTCTTTAGTTCATAGGAAAGTTCAGAGAACAAAGAAGCCATTGTTGGAGGATGAGACACCACTCAGATCAGTTCAGATCATTTGCATTCAAGTCAGTTGCCTGGAGACACCAGTTTTTGATATTATAGAACTTAACTGTTCTGGTTTTGGGAAACTGCTCACTAGAAATGGGAAGGGAATTGTGTTGTTAAGTTTGCAGAGTGTCATGAGAAACACAGATTGATGTTCTCTATAAACCTAAGCATACTCAAGTTTAGCAGACACTTGACTGTGTGATTGCATGAATACACCGTTAATGAAAGTCTTACGAGGGAAAGGGACTCTACTGTCTGGGTTAATATAAAGTCCTTGTTTTGCTTCTATAATTAATTTCATTTTATTTTCATAAACGTTTTAGGTGTATCAATACATGCATGAAACCATAACTGTTAATGGCTGTCCCGAATTCCGAGCCAGGGCCACTGCAAAGGTAGGATACGTGCAACTGTTGAAATATGTGTTACCAAAGTGATCTAGTAATTGACTGTGCGCGTGTGTGTTTCAGGTATTCGTGTGTACACTGTAAGAAAATTTAGACATCAGTGGCAGCCCAGAGTCTAGAACCAGTGCTACTTCCCAGGTAACAATCATAATGGAAAATTTCAACCTTTATGCTGCTTCTGTAGCTTAAGAAAAGAGAATGATTTTATGGAATATGATGCTTTTTGAAAAGTTGCTTTGCAAAAGCAAAACTGGTTCATTCTGTAGAAGTCTGCCTGCAACAACCAATATTTTAAGGGACTATTTTCCCATACATCTCATCCAGAGAGGACACAATTATTTGGGAGATAGAAACTAAACAGTTAAAATTCCCCTTTTGAGTAATGGAAACTGTAGGTACTGAGCAAGTGGTAAGGATGAACAATGAGAGAAATGGCCTGGTCAACGTTTTTTTGATTCCATAGTCAAATGCAAACCTGTTTTTTTTCTGATACATTGCCTGTTATTTTAAAATACATTGTGTCTTTGTCCATGAGGACCCACCTTCCTTATCCTTAGACTGTGGCAGCTACACTGCTGCTATTACTAAGATGATAATTTTCTAGGGGAATTCACACAACCATGAAAGAACCCATTCTATGTGCCAGTATGAAATATGCTCTGTATTTTTATAACATGCCCAAAGATAGATGCTTCCAAACAAGGGAATCCAAATGGATTTCTTTTTCCCATTATCATTTTGTATGGAACAGTATCTTCTCTGTGGCATAGCAGATTCTATGCAAAATAGGTAAACTTGCAAAATCGATAAATCTTTTTTAGAGGTACTGGTTTATGGTCCATTCCTGTGGAGATAAACTCCCTGAAATCCTAATGGAACTAAGATCTTACCATTATGTATTTATGTTAAGAGATTTTAATTTAAAGCTGTATCAGAAGGTGAAGGTTGGGAGCATGTTACAAAATTATTTTAGAGTACTTCAGAGAAGCAAGCTCTATAATAGCCAGCAAATAGCCTAATATACCTTAAATTACAGTGTATTTTCCTTATTAAATAGGACATTCTTTTCTGTAGGCTGTTCTGATTTTAACCTTCTAAGTGAAAGTTAATGGTCAATGTAAATTTGGTAAGTTCTGTGGTTCTATATAGAGAAATGTGTATATGAAATCCTGATTTGTTTACACTGCAGATAAATATAGAAATTATTGCTATGTTATTTAGTAAATGGGGAGAAGTCCAATTAGTGTTTCCCATTCTCATTTCTTATTCATATAGAACAGCAGGTTACAGAGCAATGTTTCAATATCACAATATTTCCTGGTTATTTCTGGGCTGTCTGCATTTCATCCTCCTAGTGCATTCATGTCTGACATAAAATGTATGCATGATGACAAGTTCTGCATGTGCAAAAACATGTAATTGAGAATGCTCCATTATGTCATGTCATCCAATTGCTTCTGTTAAGCATAGACATTTTAGGATGCTTAAAAATACTAGTGTAATGTAGAACTGTTGAAGCAGTTTGATCTACAAGCACATGTTGAAAAGTATAAAAGATTTTCTTAATGTTTCTTTACTGATTTACTAAGATCTATAAGTAAGAAAATGGTTGTAGTGAAAAATGAAGTAAAAATGTAACATTTTTCTGGATGCAAGCTTTACAGTATGTTACTTCTTTTTTTCCTAGAGTAAGATTAACAATCTAGGATTTTTCTAATTGATTTATATATATGCTGTTTTAAGATTTAATTTTTCAATAAAGATTTTGATCCAGTTATATAATAAGACCTCCTATTCCTGTTCAGGAGTTACTTTGCAAGATTTCAAAAAGATTATTAATTAAACTTTTTAATAGAATAATATAATTTTAGGATTTAAAATAAATAATTCCATAACTCTGAAAGCAAAGCAAAGAGTTAACAATTCAGTTCATCCACTTTATTTCAATTAGGAACACATTAGAGATCACATTATCTTATCCCACAGATTTTCTTCCCATGGAAAGGCAAAGAAGAAATGCACTAGTGATCATAAAGGTTCGCCACCACAGAGTAAGGCTTCCCGGGGGGCCTTCTGGCTTTGCTGCTAACTTTCTGTGTTATCTTTGACAAGTCACCGGAACTCTGTGTTCCTCTGTTTATTCCTTTATTTCAAAAATATTGGCATAGAACTTAATATTTTTAAAATACTTTCAGAAAATCAGAAAATGTCAGAGTAAGATACTGAAATGTTTTCACAGGAAGGAGTTCTTCCTGCAAATGAGCAACAGTGTCTATCACTGTTCTCCCTAAATAGCCAAATCACTCATTTTTTTTCTTCCAGGCGACAGTTGCTGCATTTGCTGCAAGCGAAGGCCATTCACACCCGCGTGTGGTGGAGCTGCCAAAGACTGAGGAAGGCCTGGGCTTTAATGTCATGGGAGGAAAAGAGCAAAATTCACCTATTTATATTTCTCGCATCATTCCTGGAGGAGTGGCAGAAAGGCATGGTGGGCTCAAACGTGGGGACCAGCTGCTTTCAGTTAATGGAGTGGTATGTGGAAATTTGATAGCGCTTTCATTTTCATCTGGATTTTCGTTTTTCACATATTTCTAATACCATGATTTAAAATGCAGCCAAATGAAACAAAAAGAATTAGCTCTGTGAGAGACCGACCCTCAGTGTGCATTTGTGATGCAGTGAGGCAAAGCTCCATTGACAACTTTGTGCCATTAGAATTCCTGGCACTGGAGAGTGCTTGAAGAGCTTCATTTCGAATCCATACCACCTACCTAATTTACAAAGAAGCTATGTCCTTAATTGATAATTTTCCTTTTGCAGTAAAAGCCTAATAACAAACTGTTTTTCTTTCATTTCATAGCCTCTGAGGCACACAGCCCTTTCTAAGCACAGTAATGCTGCATGAGTGGCACCTGTGCAGTCTTGTGACCTTCAGAGCCTTTGAACACATAAAATCAAAAGAAATTTGGTAAGCGCGTTTGGTGCTGATTTGCACTGGAAGGTTCATTCTAGATTTCTTTCAGTGACATTCATTGAGCTGTCTGATGATATCTTTGTTAGAGAAGTCAGCTCTATAAATGTACATATACAGGGAGATGTATTCTCAGTAAACAGGTACATTTTTTACTTACTAATTTTTTGTGTAAGTCAAGGTGGAGTATTTTGCAGTAGTTTTACTGTGAATATCAACATGGAGGTAAAAATAAAAGGGCTGTTGGAATAGACAGGACAAGGCTCTGATTCCACGATATGGTCAAAATCTGCATTTCGTTGCTTTTGTTCCCTTTTACAAGGGAATGTAAAGTAGTGAAAACATAAGCAGACTTGTTCATATAAGCCTACACTTCCCTTTATGAAAATGTAATCCTTTTCGTGTAAACCACCATCTAAACCTCACATTTAAATGCACCAAAGGCATGAAGAAGCAATTTCTAAATCCAGTCATAAGTATAAGACTTTACAACTTAAATTTCTTCTTTGTTGCAAGCCCATAAACAATTTAAAAAATGCCCTCTTCTGCATGCTTTTGTGTTTTCATCTGTTTCTCTCAAAAATATCCTCTTTCTCTTGAAAAAATATTTGTGCAACACTTCAGACGGACTTTTTACCATTTCTTATAGCAACTATAATGTTCTCAAAAGAGAAATATTACTTCTGGAAACTGTCTTGCACCAATACACAATGAGAAAGAAAAGATACAAAATAAAAAAAGAAAAGCTACTGAAAAGATTATTTAGTCTCAGAGAAAAAGAAACAAACTGAATATTTCATGAAGTAAATTGCCTGAACTTCACTAATTGGAAGTAGATCAAAGAATTTTGTTGTTCAGCATTTCTTCCAACAGGTGAATAAAAAGGCAGACAAAAAGAGTTTTAATTCACTAATTGATGAATGGTTTTTGAAAAATCCTTTTACTGTCAACAGCATCTAGGCAAATAACAGAAAGGAAAGTGGTGAACCTTCAGATGTCAAGATATATTTAATATGACCCTCCTGTCACCTCTATTTTATGATTCTCTTTTCAAAAATTTCATGCATGTGCTCTAGAATATATATTAAGGTAATGCAAAGAACCAAAAAACCGCAATACAAAATTCCCAGTTGCATGTAGATGTGAGAAAGTTGATGTAGAGATACAAGAGAAATATTTTTGTGTTCAGAATCTGAACAACAGAATTTGAAGTTTGAATTGCAGTTGCATACTTGAAATAATCATAGAATCAAAGAATCATAGAATGGCTTGGATTAAATGGACATTAAAGGTCGTCTAGTTCTGAAACCCCTGCCGTGGGTAGGGATTCCTCTCACTAGACCCAGTTGCTCAGAGCCCTATCCAACCTGGCTTTGAGCACTTCCCGGGATGGGACATCCACAACTTCTCTGGGAAACCTATTCCATTGCCTCACCACCCTCACAGTAATGAGCAACTTTTCAAAAACCAATTTTGGGCTGAATTAAACCCAAATATAATTCCTAAAAAGGCACACATTATAGAAGTGATTATTTGTTTGCAGACAGCTTGAGACAGGACAAAAAAGATCTAAATCAGCATTGTTCACTGGGACTGATTCACTCTGTGCTTCTCTTAATTTAGCTGGAGAAAAGCAAATAATATACAGTATGTACAATAGAACAGACGGCTCTGCGGTGGAACATGAGTATCTGTAACTTGTTTGTGCTCAGGCATTGATGGTTATCCAACTTCATAATTATCAACATAAAATTAGAGCTGCGTGTTCAGAATCCAGATTTGTTATCTGAGCGTGACTGAGATGACTGTTCCTTGAGCTGTTTCAATGTATGTTAAAAAAAAGTGTTTTCTCATTATACTGGGGATTTTGTTACATGCTTTTGTCCCACACCCCTTAAAAATAAAGGAAATTGAAAGCAGTAAGCCCTGCAGATGGCTCAGCAAAGGCACTTGCTGATGCCTCTTCATATCTGGCAAAGATTCTGCATTCATCAGATACCTTGTGTGAGTCAGAGGAAGGATGCAAAATAGATTTATAATGGCTAATTTGTCACCCAAGTATTTCTTTAGAGATGCCTAATAGAAATATTCTTCTCAGTCTCTCAACTTGTGGGCTAACAGATTTTCTTTTTTGTCTGCAAGAAAGTGGGATTTTATTCTTCTAGATTTATAACAAGTCTGTGAACCAGGATACAGTAATTGTTGGTGTTTGCCTACACCATATCTGCAGTTCTTTCAGCTGTTCTTGTCTCTACAGTATTTTGCATTCCTCTCTTCGATGCAATCTGACGATGCAATAATGAAAATAAAAGAGTAAATATATATAATTAAAAAATTACATATTAAGTAAATATATGTATTCCAAAACAATGTTATTCAATCCCATGTTTGGTGGGTGGCTCTAAAGTAACAAGTGTCAGATCCTTGCAATGTCCCCAGCCAGCATAATGTAGTCAGCAAAGTACCTTATACAGGAATGACTGATACCAGCAGGAGTCCTTTGCCAGCACAGCCTCAGAGGTTTGCAGAGGTGGAAGAATTCAAACAGCAAAACAACTTCCTTTGCCCTTTCCTTTCCCACACTCCAAGGGACTCTGCTATGTCACTTGTGCAGCTCTGTTGTGCAGGGTTTTTAATGCCTTGAAAATAGGAGTGCAAGCGTCAATGAAGACATTAAGAGTAAGTATAGCAATCACATAAATAGCAACTGAAAACTGTGGCTGTCAAGACCTGAGCGAGGTGCGTTCGGAGAGTAGTATTTGTTTTAGCAGTGCTATCTTTGCCTTTGTTATTTTACCCCCTTTGGTTATGGTTCAGAGCATTAGGCTTAATTCTGTACCATTACTATCCAAGTCAATGGGAGTTTTCCATTGACCTGGATAGCAACAAAGTCAGACCCTTCATTTCTGGTTAGAAAATACTGTCTGTAAACTGGAAGAACAAGGCCGGAGGCAAACAGGAGAGAAAACAGAGAATCATTAATTAAATGCAGTTTACTAGGTTGAACAAAGTATTAAAATACATCATCTTGTTATTCCCCTACAGAACAATCACAATTGCTTATTGATGTCAGTTAGAACCATCATGTAGCTTGGGAGCTTACAATGTTTGTTCATAGCCTGTTCTAAGTTCCTGCTGTTGCACAGCAAAACCAATCACAACACCAATGAATACACTGTTGTTTCCTCTGAATGTCCATGCCAGGCCATACTGACCGCGATTTACAAGCAAAAAATGAAATACAGAACAAAGCCAAATTTTGTACGGTTTCTCTTAAGGCGAGAAGCCAGTATCAGAGCCAGTCACAAAGAATGTGCTTATTATAAAAGGGAGCTAGTTACAGCATGTGTTAGTTATGATCACGTCTTCTAACTAACACTGTTGAAGAGTTATGGGCTAGGGGATGTGGGGAAGAGGTTTTCATTTGTATCTGTGACTTGTTCATTACAGCAGTTTCACAAAACAGTGTTCATCTATAGCTTTTTATTTTGGCTCTCTTTAGAGCACTAGACACATTAACTGTTTCTTACGCACAACAATTTCCTTTTTTTTCCAAATATTTATAAGGAAACAACTTCTTTTTCCAAATTAGTTTTTCAGTAGCAGTGCTTGTCCAGCTGATTTTTCACAATTTCTAACAAATCTGGTCATCGCAGATCATGAATTTTCTATAAGATCTTTGGCCCTACTGGAGGACTTTCATGAACATACAGTTCAAAATTTGTATTTTGAAGTATTTTTTTGAAGGTTTTCTCTGTTTCTGGTAATTGTTGCAACACCTGAAATGACATTCATTATTTCTCTGATACATTGATGTTTTCAAAGCATCTTAAAATTTCTGTAGAAACTTGAGTCCAGTCAGTTGACTCAGACACGAGTTTGAGTCAAATATATTATTTGTATTAATATATTGAAAGATATTTAACAGGAGAAGGAAGATAACTAGCAAGGCAATAAGCTGGAATTGTTTATATTATCTATGTAGAAGCATTTGTATCTGCTTTTTGAAACTTTTGAATCATTATTTTTAGCTCTTATTGTGCCACAGCAGAAGTAGTTCTTATTCACTGTTCTTGCACAATACTACTCAGTCAAATAGGAGAGATGAAAATAGAAAGAGTTTTCTTCTGGCAGTTGCTATAACAAGTTATTCTTTTTGCATGAATTGAACTTCAAATATTTTGAATGCTGCTGCTTCTCCTTGGAAGTCTAGAAGCCTATGGGTATAGGTCCATTTTAAATAGCATGGTATACATAAGAGTTTTAAAACACAGCAGGTGGTAAAACTTTGATTTATTTTAAGTGGAAAGAAAATTACTTATTTTTAGATGGTCTAAAATCCATGCGAAGATCTCAGATGTGCAGGCTGTTGGGTTTTTTTCTGTGCAGAAATACTTTTGTTTTTTGGAATATATCCTACAACACATGTGGACAATCATACACCATTAAAAATTTCCCCCCTTTTTTTTTACGGTGTGGAACAATCCACATGCCTGAAAAGCACTCCATTTAGTCCACTTAATAGTAGAAATTGAACACTCTTTTCACAGCTGGGTCACATCCCTGTTTTGGAAATATACTGTTTCAAACAACATTAGCATAGAAATCAGAACTTAAGCCCCTTTGGGAATACTTTTGATTTCACGGCAGGTATCATTTTACTATAAAGCATTTTCCAGAAAGGGAGGAAAAATACATATTCCCTTAGCAAGAGCTTGTAATGTTTCAGTTGTTTTTCAGTTTGATTGCTTACAACTAACCAGATAAAGACTAGTTTATTTCCAACAGAGAAACCATATCACATAAATGTTAAACGTGAACAATGCCATTAACTTCCTAAGACACGTGTTGTCCTGGGGAGCAGCAGGCATCCTCCTCCACCTACAGCTCAGCAACTTGGAAAGCAAAGGCTCCAGGGAGACCTCTGGGCAGCCTTTCAGTACCTAACAGGGCCTACAAAGGAGCTGGAGAGGGTAAGGCCATGTAGTGATAAGACAAGAGGGAATGGCTTCAAACTGAAAGAGGGTAGATTTAGATTAAATATTATGAAGAAATTCCTTACTGTGAGGGTGGTGAGGCACTGGAATAGGTTACCCAAAGAAGTTGTGGATGCCCTATCCCTGGAAGTGCTCAAGGCCAGGTTGGATGGAGCTCTGAGCAACCTAGTCTAGTAGAAGGTATCCCCCTGTGGCAGGGGGGTTGGAACTAGATGATCTTAAAGGTCCATTCCAACCCAAACCATTTGATGATGATGACTATTTAATCATCACATGTCATTCCCTGTATGATCCAAGCAGGGACAGGGCATAAGAAAGGAACTGCTGTTTCAATCTCGCAATTTCTTCATTTCTTACCAACATTTAAATAGGATTTTATTTTTGTACCTTGCAAACAATTTGTTTGGGGTTTTCAACATTATTTTTGTTTGCAAAAAGCTTGTTGAATATCTCCCCTCAATTTCACACAGATCAGAAATTAGATTTGTAATTGTAACCTAAAATAGATTTAGGTTATTTTAAATATAAAAATTAAGACATCCCCAGCAATGCATAGGTCTCACTTAACACTTTCTTTTAATGGTCCCTTGAAAAATGTCAGGTATGGAAACTTCTTGAAAATTAACAGCCTTTCTGTATGAAGAAAACACAGCTTTAGATCAAAGTACCATTTTCATTATTAAATCTTTTCTCCGTGCTCCCAGAGTGTGGAAGGAGAACACCACGAGAAGGCGGTGGAGCTGCTGAAGGCAGCTAAGGACAGCGTCAAGCTGGTGGTACGCTACACTCCCAAGGTGCTGGAGGAGATGGAGGCTCGCTTCGAAAAACTGAGAACAGCCCGGCGCCGACAACAGCAGCAATTGCTCATTCAGCAGCAGCAGCAGCAGCAAACTACACAGCAAAACCATATGTCGTAGGTGAGAGGATTCATTGGTCTTCCTTAAAGTCCACTGACAGCACCCTGACACAGCCTGGGCCAGCTGCTCCCAGGCGTCCAGGGGTCTGTCAGCACAGCGTCTGACACCAGGGCCCATCCCAGCCCCAGACAGGAGCAGGGTAGCCATAGGCCCAGGCTGCCTGGGGATGGGGACAGACTGGGCCATGATCCCACAGGTAGTCCAGCTCAGTGGGACCCCATGGCTGGGCGGGGTAGGGCTATGGGGAGCTGGAGACTGGCCCTGCTGGAGCATTGCTGGGGCAGGGGATGATGGCCCTGGGGCTGACATAAGGTCCTGGGCTGTGGACGGGGTGGGAGAAGCCCCAGGGCGGGACAGTCAGGGAGCTGGAGGGTACCCCTGGGGACCCAGCAAGCACTTAACTGCAATCAGGATGAGGACAGCTTATTTGATGCATTGCCACATGGTTTATCCCATTAAAAATACATTTTGAAAATAGGTTAAAGGCACTAGCAAATTCTGGAGCCAATTTCAAACTAATAACCCTGAGATCAATAGCCACTGTGCAGCTCTGGCTTATCTGCAAGCAAAAGAAGTCTGTAATTCCTAGGAACATTTTTTACATTAAAAAGCAGAGCATTTATGACAAGTAAAAATATGCCACCGGATTTAGACACAGTTCAATGCATTTTCAGCTAATCGGTTGCCACTCTGCAACAGAACATCTAGATTTGCTGGTGGTAGATGAAGAAAACTCTTCCTAGTCCCTTCCCTGCTACAGGGAACCCAAACTTCACTCTGTGGTTACTCTGCAGGGCACCTACAAGTGCTTACTTCTCATGTACAGGTTTGGTAGGAAGTATTTAGTTCGCTCTTGACTGACATTGAATATTGGAAGAGCTTCCAAGAGGTTTGCAAGTTTCCCAGTGTAATCAAAACATCTGACATGTGAGGTTAAAAGATTCAGTTTTTCTGAAATCATTGAAAGTTTTTGCCATTAATACATTTGTAGCTTTGCTCTGTTTGCCTGAACAAAATCTAGTTGGAAGCATGTCCCAATGACTTACATTCCAACCCTCTACATCTCCCTCCACATCTCATATCTGTTTGTTCCCAAAACAGGATGTTTGTACTAATATGAGTCCACAGGTAACTCAGAAAGTCCCTAGATGGTCAAAAACTGAAGCTCATCATGATGATTTCATTGTTATTAATGTTAACACTGACCTCTGTTGATATGTCTTGTAAACCCCCTGTCCTGTAATCATGAGAATTCCAGATTTGTGGATGCAAACAAAGGCTCTGAGTGGGTTCTAAATTCCACCTTAGGGCCTCCACTCATACAGGAGGTATAAACAGTAGTATTTCAGTAGGGTTTCTGTGTAAAACAAGGCCATTGCAGGACATGGACATACACGTGAAGTTTTTAATTTTTTTCAGTTACCTAAATCTTTTCATTAGCAAGTAAGGTATTTTTACTGATTTTATTTTTTTTTTAACTGGAAGGGAAGAAAGGCAAGGCAAAGAGAGCCAGCAGCTTAATTCCTCAATTCTTTGTGCTTGATGTGAGGAATGTGTTTCTTTAATTCTAGGTTATTCTCAAGGAAGAAGAAGCCTCAATCAAGAGTTCAGTAATCAAGCAACCAGAGCTGTACTTCAGTATTCCAGCAAAAGGAAACAACTATGTGAAACAGAATTCATCTGGAGAATATACAGTACAAGACTGATGTAGTTAAGTGAGCCATAGAGAGGGTACCTTCATGATAAGGCTTTTCAGCACACAGCAGTCACAGATACCTATTACTGCTGTGACTCTATTCCTAATGAGAAAGCATGATTGGTAAACCCTATGAAACAGAGAAGTCCAGAGCTTCCAATAATTCTGTTTGATCTAATCTTGCACTCCTTACTCTGACAAATTTGCCAGTTGGCTTTCTTTAGTCACTGAAAATTTTGTTTAATGAGGTTAAGATTGGCTGCTTTTGAGGACAGGATCTTTCTCTACAATAGTTATCTCCAGAAATGTACATCTACATCAGTTCAAAATTTTGCCACAGACATCAAACTTATATACCACGCTTCATAACCACTTTGTACTATATATTGTAGAGCTGTTTTAACCTAACTTCCTGTTTATAATTTTCAAATTTCCCTCTGGAAATAGCAATTTACTATATTTATAAAGTATTCCATTTGTAGAAGCAATTGGCTTTTTACTCTTGGTGTTTCCATATATTTTATTATACATCAACAGAGTGAGAAAGTTTTAGGTCAGCTTTAATTTTATTAGTAGTAAAGTTAGGGAAGCCTAGAACTGTATTTTTAAACTTAGGTATTGCTTGTATCTATTATAGTTACTATTCAGAAATCTATAACTGGATATATTATATATTTATTCCATAAAATATATATTGTCTGAATGTACCTTTTAGAGAAGTAGGGTCTTTGCTTAGCATGTATTGCAAATGTGGTAAGCTAATGTTAGCAAAAGACCAAGCTTTGTTAGGCAGATATTACTGTGATTGCATAATCTCTGCATTTCTGTATTTTTTAATTTATTTTCTGGTCTAATGTTAATGTATTTTAGAGAGGAGGAAGTGTAAGTTGTTTCTTTTAAGACTCACACATTATCATTTAAATTAATTTGAAATTAGAGTTCTTTTTTTTTAATTAAACCAAATTGGAATGTGCAAAGAAAATCTATAACTAAGTTCTTAAGTTTACATGTCTGCTTTTCCAAAGAATATAGTCAAAGCTGGAAGGCTATAGATGTCATCTACTTTCAAGAAAATAAGAAAATGGGCCCCCAAATCCTGAAAAAAATATAAGCATTTTCACATGCCTTCTGTGCTTCATTAGAAAAGACTAGGGGGAAAAAGGAGCTTAGGGGACCCTACAGTCCTTGCATGTTGAAAACTCCAGCTGATGTCAGTGAAAGTTCAGTAATGAGAGGAATGTAGAAATAGTCAAAACCAGTGTTCTGGTTGAGAACTTGGAACTAAGTCAGAAACAATTAGTATTTTGAAGGATCTATTCTCAAACAGAGAAAGACAAAGGAAAACAGGGGAAATTGGCAGTATCATAGCATATGTTAGAAACCAAATGCAGGCTAGCCAAAAGTCTTGACAGTATTTGATTAGTGTAAGTAGCCATTAAAAGGAAATTACTGTATTTTTAAAACCAAGCAGCATGGATTCATCTCGAGAAGCTTCTTTTTATACCGAGAAGTAATTCTATCCAGTAGTCATCAGTGACAATATCAATTAAGACAGTGGAGTTTGAGAACTATCAGAACTGAAGATGAAATATATTGTATTGTGCTCTGCACAGTGTCTTTTTATACTTAATAAAATTGTATGTACCTATTTTAAAACTGTATTCTCAAACAGACATTGCTATTAATATTGACAGTATATAAATTGTTATTATGACTGCATATAACTGTTCTGTATCTCATCAGTATGATTTGAATTACACTGATAGCTGCATTTTCAGAGACCAAGTATTCAGATTTAGTTAGCCCACTGTACTGCATTTTTCCAAACTGCCTCTCCACCTCTTCCCCTCCTCTTCTTCAAACAATTTGAGTGGAATGTGCTGATTAATAAATTTCAATAATAGACTGTCATTCATATAAAGAAGCATATCAAATTCATTTTCATATATTATTATTCAATAAATTATTTATACACACTAAAATTAACATTCTAGTCTTTACCAACATTTAACAATAAGATAAAAGAAAAATATAAGTGAAATCTAACTGTCAATGAATTTGAAATGGAAACAGGAAGAAATAACTTGCTATCACTTTTCATGCCCCTTACTGATCAATAAAACATAGCCACTTAATCACGGAATAATCTCTGTCCCTAAACCTATCACATGCATTTGCTTGTAGACAGTATTTTCATTTGTGATTTAAGTGTCTTTGGTCTGGACGCAGTAAGACACTTCCACGCGTGCATTGCTGAATTAGTACCCAAAAGACATGCAGGGAGGACAACACTTTCCACATTCAGGCCTGCAGGTATTTGTGCATTGTGTTTTAACTGGCATTTGCTGTTCCACTACGCTGAATTAATATTCTTTCAGTGAATTTAGTAAGTTTTTATTGCCCATATTTACCTTTGGGGCTCTCTCATGTTTCTCTGCACTGGCAGCAGACTGAGGTAGGAGATCCAAGAAGCCTTTTCCGTCTCTTTATTACAGTAACCAAAGGAGTGTTTACACACTCTTGCATCATGTTCCCTTATACCAGAGACTCAGATGCAAGATCTAATGATAATAGAGAATGCAGTGTTGGTGGCATTTACTTAGAGAAGTTGATGGCTCTGTTGTGCTAGCCCTAGTTTTTTTGTTTGTGTCATTTGATCTGACTGGCACTTTATAGGGCGTTGAAGGGTTCCATAGTCCTTGATAAGTGAAAAGCTCACCAGTTTGTGTTTTTGTCTTTTTCTTCTACAGTGACAAATCATAGATGGAAGGTCAATGAATGCCCATGAGTGAGAGAGATGATGTAAAAATCTACCTGCAGTTCCCTTGTGAATAATACTACAGATCTCATAGACCTATATGTTGTACCTTGTGTACGTATTTATCACAGCCAGGCTCCCGGTATGACTTAGGAACCTTTGGGAACTCTTGCAGAAGGCTCGAAATTATATGGCTCATTTGCACTAGAAGAAACTGTTTATTCATGTACTAACTTTAGGGGTTTTAGAGTTCTAAGTGAAATTAGGATCTCGTGAGCAAACCAAGTTCCTAGAATAAAAAAAAAAAGCTAAACAAGAAGGGGAGTGGGTTTGCTTGTGTTTGAAATAAAACAGGATTTTAAGCATAATTTTAAGCCTAAACCAGAATGTATTATGCTCACAGAAGATATATTTTATTACAGGATGAACGCCTGTTTCAGAAAGTAGCAATTCTGTCTGAATCGTTCTGCAAAAGAAAACCTACCAATCTCCTAACGCAGAACTGTGTCTACAGGTGCTTAGGGGACACTTCCATGTGTAAGCAGTGGATTATTATCTAGAAGTAGTACTGTCCTTGCATAAGTATTAGTGAGACCATTTCCATAGCCAGCATTCAATAAAATAAAACAAGTTTCAAATCAAGAGAGTATTCTGGGTCAGTTTGCAGGAATGTGCTGCCTGCTGCAATAGATGTCTGATGAGAAATACAGCCCACTCACTGTGCTTACCCATGAAAAGGTCAGGATGAGTTGGGGATGTGCTCAAACATCTTGCAAGTGGACCCACACTCACCCTGCTTGTCTGTGAAGCGAATGCAGTTGCTCTACCTTCAGCTGTCTAAAATAAAGCTGCAGAGTTTACACTGATTGTTTCCAAAGTCAACAGAGAGTTAGAGGGATCCATTGAATAAGATTCGACCCACCTGTATCTGACATGTATCTTTAAATAGGATAAGGCATCCTGTAAAACAGTTTATAAGCAGAGCCACTGACTAAACAGCCTAAACTACTAGCTTGGAATAAGTAATGTCTTTGGGGGGATGGGAGAGAGGTTGCTGCTACACTCATACACAGCTTCCAAATAAGTAAATATCAAGCCCCCAGTGCTTGAATTCCCTAATGTTAGACCTCTACATGCATAGCTCAGATGAGTAAGAGGTTCTGGTTTGTAAGGAGGTTCCTGTTGTTACAGATATCTGTTCTGAAACATTCTAAGAAATGTAAGAGCTCAGCACAGGTATTGTTAACAAAAAGCTTTGGTTGCAGTGCATACAGGAGAAGACTGTAACAAGCTTCATCCTGGGAAGGCTAACAGCAGAAGTCTGTACTACCACCCACAACGCTGGGCTAGTGTGTGTACATTTTACAAAACCTGCAGCCAAAAAGATGAACTACTGCTTTTGATTTTTGGTTACAAACAGAGATACGCAAAAATAAAGCCATCAAACTTGCAACATAGGAATTTGCTATAATAAGAGTCATAGCAAAGCTTGACCAGTTCTGAAATCTAAAACTTGCAGTTATTTAGGATTAACAGATTAAAAGCAGATGTCTATAAGGAACAGCCAAAATCCAAGAGGAAGAAAAATGCCATAGGGGCTTAATCTCTGATCAGCCTTTAATTTACTTTCTTATAGTTAGTTTCACTCTTACCAACTCATCAACCACAAGGGAAGCTTATGATTCAGCAACTGCACTTATTTTTGTCAAAACCATAGAGAGTTGATAGGGTAGAGGAATACCTCTTCCTTTCCTTCCTCTCTCTGAGACTTGTGTGAAGCTGTCTGCTCCAAGAAGGTGATACCCAAACACATCCCAGTCCTACAGAGAATTTCTTAATTAGTCATATTACAGTTTCTCCCCACTAGCAATTCTCAGTGTGTTTCCTCGAAGTGAGCATGTTTTATAGATTCACAAATTCATGTTTATTTTAAGGAAAAGTCTGTGTTAAGCCTGAAGCTGTAAATCTTGCCCAACCTTTTTATTTTGACATCCCAAACCAGACCAACAGTTACACTTGTGATAATCCAGTTGGGAGCCTGAGATTAGCTTGTAAACTGGTCCAATATAAAACTAGATCCCAGGAGTTGCTTCTCTAGCATTTCTGTTGAAATTGAAGAAATGTAAAAGACAAACATGAAGTACAACTTCTGAAGTACAGAGAGTAGCCAGGACAGCACTACAGAAAGGGGAAGATACTTGGGATTTTTCACTCATACATGAAAACTTCTTTAGGAATACAGAATATTATTTTTATCTATACAAGTTACTTTTCTATGTTGGGAGGAACATGTCTCTGAAACCATATCTCTAATAACAGATTTGGAAAAAGCAAGACAAGATGATTATCTAAAACAGCATGGGAAAAATTCAGGGTATGTTAAGGTAGCCATGAACAATTTGGTGGGTAAGGATGGGCCCAAGTCAGATGAGAGTAACTCAGAGATACTTCTCCAGTGATCTCTCTCCTCCCTCCACTTCTCTCACCTGCAAATTCCCTTAGACAAGAGCCCAAATATCACCACAAAGCTGTTCCAACTCTCAGTATTCCCCCACCCTTCTTTCCATGCAAGTTATTTCTGAGCTGAGCAGTGACCCTTTTTGATCCCTTGCAATCTCCTCAGCCAGGTGTGGCATTTAGACTTTGCCATATCTACCTCCTGGAGTGCTCTGCTCTTCACTTGCATGCCCTATCCAGTAGCTGCCCTCTCATGGCCACCATTGTCAGCTGTCTTACTTGCCCTACACAAAATAATTTTGCAAGCCCTGAAGGAAAAAATACATTAAGGGGGTAGAAAAATGGTAGATAAATCTTGAAAATTTTTTTTCAGGATACACCAATAATGTCTCTTCTTTCCTGAGTCAGCCCCTTTTCAGCAGATGATTTTTACCTTCCTCCTGATAAAGCACTCTGCAGTGACACTGACTGTGGGACAGCCATACACCGTTCTCTTGCTGAAACAATAGACATCTAGACCTACTTGAAAGCATTACACCATGAATTCACACATATGCAGTAGGTCAGAGTCACTGTGCACACACTGAGCACCTGATGATGAAAGGTGATGAAAATCCAGCATTCTGGCATGCGGACCCGTGTCTGTTTGGAATTTCAGAGGTGGAAATGTGGAATCAATTTCTGGCAATGTCCTAACATTGAGTCAGAGGCTTCAGCCATCCAGTCTGAAAGTGTTTGTATTATTAAAAGACATCCAAGAACCAATATTTCATTTGTTTTAAAATTCTATTTCAAAGTAAGTTTTCAACAGTAAACAATGAGAAAGCAAGACCCTTTCTTAAACTCCTGGGGATCAAACATGCAGTGCATTATTAATTTCTGTACTAACTTCATGCTTCAGATGCAGAACTTCCACAGCACCACCTTTCAAGCCTAGGCTTTGTGCATGTTGTACTTATCTTGTCTGTACTGTCAATATCTTTCTGTCAAGAAAGAAATTAAACTATTTACCATTGTGCCTTAGTACCCCTAAACGAAAACATAAACTTGACTGCTTACTTGAAGGGGGTTTAAGCAGTAATTAACTCAGACTAGAGTTTAAGTGCTGACTAGGTCTTCTGAAGCAATATTTGTCTCCACTGTTCTATGTTGCAGTATATCACGTTTACTGCTCCGTTGTATCAATATATCTGTGTCCTTAACTACACTCGACTACATTCAGTGGGCAGTGCCACGGTGCAGCTCGCAGTTGAATAAATAAGCTAAGGGAGACGCCTAGTGTAAAATGATGCTCATGGCACCTTTAGCGGCTCGTTCCGGTGTCACTGCTGCGGGCTTCTTTTCTGCCAGCGTTAAAAAACTACACAGAGATATATACAGCATTCATTGAGCATATATACACACATTTTACAGTGAATGGACAGTTTGGAAAACTGAACTCCATTTAACGTGCAGTAACACCACATAAGTGAATACTCTGTGTGCTAAGGATGGCAAATAGCAATAGGATTACAGCAATAGAAGCAATATTCTTACCCGGATAATAATTCTAGGATTAATGTAAATATTGCTTAATATGGTTAGTGGACTGCACACAGTCAGGTTCTGATCACACTGCACCTGCCGTTGCTTCCTCTCTGAAGGCCCTGTGAGAAGGCAACACCCCAAAAGGCACAAGCTTGACATACAGGAAGCCTCAGAAAACTGGCACCAGTGTCTGGAAGAGAGGCTAGAGGAAAGCAACCTAATGATAAAACAGTCCTACCTTCAGCAAGCATTGACAGCATTCACTGTCTGTTAAGGGCCAAATCTGTTCAGTTTTCCTGTTCTGAGTATGGTGCTTAATAACAGCCCAAATTCTCCATTTCTGTTAGAAACCCACTTACTCTGATAAGGGTTACAATTCTGGGCCAAGAAGGGTAGGTAACAGGAGACCTCTGCTCATCCTGAATTGTCTGATATGACTACATAACTGTTTGCCAAATTTAAAGTCAAAGACTTTAAAGCTAAGTAAGAAAAAAACCGTATTTTGTCAAAATCTATGTTGATTGGTTCAAATAATAATCTCCTGACATCTGTAAAGAAGTCATCCATTGAGGTTGGTGTGGCTGAGACTGGTTTCTTCTCTGTGTCCTTGGGTAATTCTAGGATGACTATTTTAAATCTGAATGGAGCAAGGATGTGAGAATTAAGTCATTGACTCTAATGGAAGTGCAAGTGATTTTCATGAGATACAAAAGTTTCCAACCAGATTTATTGCTGAATTAATGAACCCTCAGCAGTGGTCTGCATTAGAATTAGTACACCTCCAAAGCATGGTTTAGAAGCAGTCATCTTGCCTTTATTAAATTATTCAGCTCAGCTACTCAGGTGTAATACTGATCTGGCTTACTAAGGAGATGAATGCAATCTTAAAGCAAATTTGTTCTGTAAGACAAGAGTCAAAAACTGACAATCTTCAAAGCTAGAGAAAAAACAGGAACAAAAAAGAGAATCGTTCCTACTGTCAAATCAGATGAAGATTTGACAGATTTTTTTGACTTTAAGACTAATTGTTGAAGCGGCTGAAGTGACTCAGAAGTCAGTCAGAACATCTGACATTTTTTCAGAGGCCAGTGTCAGTGAAGGTGCAATTAATTGCAGCTAACATCTCTCTGCAGCTGTTGGAGGGAAAAATTATCTCCAAGGAGTGATTCACCTCATCTGTGTAATGGTTACTGACACAACATAATTTTTTTTTTCCAGAGAAGGCAGCAGAAGAATTTTCTCATCATGCTCCTCCATCCCTCTCCCCTCTGCCTTGCCAGCCTTTGTTCCCACACCAGCTTTAACAGGTTTCTCATTCAGCTGGTGAAGCAGCATAAAACCATTCTCTCACCTGTCCCATAGAAAGCACTGTGGTTTCTTGGTT